AATTAGATTATTCATTGCCTTGAATATGCGTAAGATTGTACATGGATACCTAGTAGCTCACAATTTAAAAATCAGATCATGCATGCCACTTTTTTTAGACACCGGACTACAGTCCCATTCTGAAGTTGTGCTAATCCACCTCTATACCTCTGCACACACACGCACACATCATTTCTCTTACCTTTGGTGGTCCATAGGGAGACATAACATAGGAGAAGAGACCGTACCAGGATGAGAACAGCATCTCTTACTTTCAGGAGTTCTAAGAAACTCGAACTTCTACTCATGTTTGTGGGTGACACAAGCTAGCCTACCAGGAAAGTACCTATTGAGTGTTTCACATAATCACCCCACTACGCACTTTTTTCTGAGCGGAAAGAATTCTGAATTACATATATTGTTATAAAATAGGTTTAGTTTGGGTTTCAGGTCAGAAAAGTAGCATCTCTGGAATTTCTCTCCAAGTACAGCAACTAGCCACAATACTAAACTCTTCCATCACATGTAGAATTACAGACAGCCAAGAGCAAAGCTTTCTAATAATCCTAAGTTGTTTTAGTTAATTTGAAAGATGGCTGTGGCAACATATAGTACATCTATATCTTTAGATTATGTCAAGTAACTCCTGACAAGCACCACAGCTCTCCCTGTAAATGTTACCAGTCTACCAGAAAAGAAAACATTCAGTTTTAAATCATGCCTGTTGTTGTTTTAGAAAAGGAGGCATAAATTAAATGCAGCAGACATTAATGCCAAAGATACATGTCTAGGAATACTATTATTGCTGCCTAGCAACTAGGAGGAAGGGAGTATGGCGGGGGTGGGGGGGGAATAAAGTGATGGAAGAATCTGATTTGGGCCACCCGAAACTAAAACCAATTTGATCACACTGCACTATGTCTTCTCTCAAGCAAATTTATTTAGAAAAGAGAGAGAAGAGAGACTAAGTTTTCAGGGAACTCTCCTCCAGCCCCCAGCAGCATTAACATAAAGCGCTGAAGAACTGTGGAGAGAGCAAGACAGGACAGACCGGCACAAACACACGTTTCACTTAATTACCTTCTATTTGGTGCCTATGAACGTTTACTTAAAATACACTGCACAGGTTTATTTTTTTTTTAAGGAAGTGGGTCATTCGTTTATCTCTGAATAAACACTAAATTACTCTGCTTTAGACAATACTATTATTTTCTCCCAGAAAGTAGGCAATACTGCTATTGCTCCCTCAGAGCATTAAGTTCACAATGACATAAACTGCTACGCATTCCATTCTTTTCCCAAATACATTCAGAAGTCTAATTTCATCTATTGCTTTTGTTACCGGTGAAAATAATGACACCACTCTGGTAGTAATGAACAAAGGTTCAGGTAACCATCTAAAAAGCAAGCCCAACAGAATAGATGATTTAATACTCTACCTTTTTTGTAAACTAAATATTTTCAAAAAGGGACCATTTACACTTTTTTATTTGAGGTCAAAAGTTAGCCATTTTTTCTTGTAATATCCATACTCAGAAAATTATTCACATGTTGGCAACTTCACTGCACTATTGCAAGCACGGAATTACAATCACTATTCATGCAGAAAACAAACAAAAGCATTCAAAGCAGTTTTGGAATTTGATTTGTTAATTGGAGATATACTGTTAATAACTGCAATAAGAGTTAGAACACCATGAGACAACAAGTTTATTAAAACATTTATTAGAACACACACTACAGAAGTGGGAAAGAATTGCTGGTTCTTACCTCTGTCCAAAGAGGCCTTGTTTAAGACAAGAGCGTCTTCGATATCATAACCACTGTAGCTCATCACAGCGACGGTGGCATTCTGTCCAGCAGGCAATTTCTCGAAATCTATCAGTTCAATTGTTTTTGTTTTTACCATTGGCTTTTGCGGATAAGCTAGAAGATACATAAGAGTATCTATCCTGTTTCTTTGATTGTATCCAATAGTACCTGTATGTAAAAGAAAAACAAAAGTGTGTGAACATTATTGAGTTTCCTAGAAACATTTTGGCTAAAAAATTACCAAAATGAAATTAACTAAACCCACAAACTTAGGAATTTAATCTAATAATAAAAACGCTTCAAGAAAAGATGGGAAAAAAATCACAAGAGAGACTGAAACAAAACAAAGTTATGCTATTATATTGAAATAAAGATGCAAGTGGCTTCTTAATTTAAGCTTCCAGAAAGAATTATTTATTTTTTTCTTAAACAGGGAAAACCTAAGCATCAAGACAAAAAGAACAATAACAAAAGAAATGCAAGTCAGGTCCTATGTGACTGAATGAAAGTAAGATTTCTTTTTTAGTCATGACACCGAATAAAAGTGTAAGTATGGAGTTTGCTATTATTGTTCTAAGAGCCACAGGTTTTTCTGGGGGAGCTGAACTTGTGCTCCATAGACCTGATCCAAAATTTCATGAGGATCAATAGAAAGATTCCCATTGAATTAAAGAAGAACTGTGGATCAAGCTCTGCGTCTTCCACATCATATTTCCTTCCTTTTCTGAGCAATAATTAGTTCAACAGCAGCCTGTGTTAGAATGTCAAAAAGCATGAACAAAGCATACAGTTAGCAGCAGCCAAGACTTATTTACTTTCTGAAATTAGAGGCATCATTACTAGAAAAACTACAGTTGAAGTTCACTCACAATATATTTGTCTTTTTACATGAAATTAATTTTAAATTTACGGTTCAGAATTCAATCCTTTGTATAGACCTCCCAGCTTGAGACTGAAATTTTTGGCCCTGTCCCATCAGACTGCCAAAGTGTCTTCTGAAATCTGAGGAAAAAATAATTAACACCCAGCAGGGAAACATAAACCGTTGTGTAGCAGAACAAAAGTTAAGGCAATCGTATGTTATTAGAGTTTGCTGTACCAGGACTATGCTATGTCTCCAAGCAATTAAGAAATTACAGTCTGAAAAGTTAAAGTTTTAAAGTTTTAAGTGCTAAATATTCTGCAGTACTTGGGCTTAGGAGGTAAGTCTTTCAAAACCTCTCCATTTTCTCCTGCAATTTCAGAGGCTGGCTGCTTTCAAGGAAAGGTTAAAGCAGCCCGTGTATAATGAAGACTTCACATAGCCAGAACATAGTACAGCTGAACACAAATCTGCTCTTAGGGGAGTTCCGCTTCGCATTTTATATGCATCTACTTGCAATTTCCAAAAGCCTGCATTTAAATAAAACATCTAGAAAATCAAACATCTAAAACCAGGAAGCATCATGGGCATTTCCAAAGACCTATCCTGCCCTTGGCACTCGTCTCTCTCTCCTAAACCACCATAGGTCTACCCCTCCCAAGGACAAGAATGAAGAGATAGCTCAACAGACACTGTCTGAAAAGAAACTGTTATAACCAGCTCTTGCACGCCTGGACTTTCCTTGGTTCTAGAAAGTGGATTTGAAGCCATGGGCACAGCATTTTCAAATGGCAAGGAACATTTAGTAGAGTTGACAGGCTTTACTTGTGTCTTGGTTTTGGGCAGTTGATTTTCTGTCTTTTTCTTGGAGAAGGAAATTGATCATCCCTGAGCAGTATTTTCTGTCTCCAGTAAGAAGCAAGCTGGTAGGGCCTGGATTTATCAACACTGAAGACCTTCCCAGTCATCCCCCTCCAAGGCCCACCACCTGAAGGCTCTATTACTTCTGATACTCTCTTAGCCTAAGCATTAGACATTGTTTTCATTGTACTTTGACAAGAAAAACTGCTTTACCCACTATACAGCTAGGAAAATCTACTTCCAAATTAAAAACATAGATGTTTAAACTATTTTTTTCCCTCTGCACCTAGAATGAATAATCTGTGTGCTTTCAATGTAGGCTGTCTGCTGCAGAGGTCATCTTAAAAGTTTCATGGATAGGTACATTTTCCTGTCGTTGACAGAAATCCTCTCCTGAGTAAGCCATGCCAACTTTCACTTTTGAAATGCTTGTAATTTTTTTCTCCTCTGAGATGCTTATATGCTGTACCTGCTACGGTTCACTGGTTAGGGATACTAAGACAAGAATGAAGTCTGCAGCACATGATTGTTGCTAAACTTGTCCTTTATACCCCAGCAACAATCTGTGGAAGTCCCCTATATATGAAGGATTATAGATGACACTTTTACATATTTCAGGTAATGAAAATTATTTCTCTCTCAGACGCTTCATGTATTTCAAAGTTTGCATTTTTATCAAATAAGCCTAATGGAACTGTTACTATTTGTATCAGACCAGGAGCCATAAGTAACTGCCATTACTGAGATTTTGAGCCTCAGTAATAAACTGTATTCAGGCAACTCCTGAAGAGTTGCATGCTGTACCATATCAAATGGCAAACTTATACATCAATGATGGATATTCTAGCAGGAAAGAAACCGCTTAGAGAATGATTCAAGAGCACACGTGAAATAAACTAGCCCAAAAGTACACCGTACATCAGCAATATTTGTCCCAATTCCTACAATTTAACCGTTATACAAATAACGCCTTCTCTAGACTGGTCTAGCAAACCACAGCCTTAAACCACAATCTGCTTAGTTAAAATTAAGAAGCAGCTCTCTTCTTCTGAGGACTGGTGTCTTGGGATGAGACCTCCGTGCCAGCATTGAAAAAAAGGAAGTCACTAGCTTTATTTCTGTTTTCTCTCTGGAAGGACAGAGCCCTTGTTTGCTTCAGTCAAACAGCCAAACAAAAGTAAAGTATAATTAAAGTTCACTATAACAAACTGTGCTCACAATGACCCACATTTACAATTATCCCAACAGCAAGAACCAAATTTTTTCATTGGTAATTAGCTCTGTTTAAGGCAAAACATATAAGGTTGACCCGGCTACAATAGAGATAATTTTCTTGCTTTTCTCAGCACTTGGCATATTGTGAACACACGTGTGCATCCATCCATTTTTTTTTTCATTCCCTGACAAGTTGTTTTTTTTTCTTTTAAAGTATTATTTGATCATTCTTCAGTGGGAAGTAATCACTATAAAAATGCTATCTATTGCTATTTAGCATGAATGGGGATATTGCTATTCTGATGCAGAAAGTTTTGAGAACTCACCAGAACAAACAGCCAGCTAAAATAGGCCTTTATCCAATCTGTGGTATATTACTTACAGCACAATCAAAATTAACAAGGATACAAAAATCAGTCTACTTAAGATACGATCCAAAAGGGCACACGTCAAGAAAGGGCTACTATTGCCTATGTCAAGAAAAGAATTGCTGTACTTCTGTATTCCCCTCGATTTTGCCATGGATTTTCTGCTGTTCTGTCCTTTTATAGGAGCACAAACCAACGGAGGAAGGAGTAGTTTTCAAATGCTGCTCTGAACCTTGTGGAGGGGGCTCCAACTCAGCTCAGAGATTTTCACAGTACGCGTATTAAGTGATCTGGATGTTCAATATTTGAAATACTCTTTTCACCGTAGAAGATTAAGAAGTCAGTTAAAAGGATGATGGGTAAAATGGGGGAAGTAGTCTGGCTCACTTCTACCTCAGCATTTCTGGCGTGTGCTACGAGGGAGAGAAGAGCTGGCAAAAAGAGACCGTGTCACAGAGCACAAACGCTGCTCCTCAAAGAGCAGCGGCAGAACTAGGCCCCGGCCACAAAGCACCCAGTCCAGCTGTGATGACCAGCAACAGCCAGTTTTGCTTTGATGTTTGTTTCGATTCTCTGCCAATAGGCTAGCCATACAAAATCTGGGAGCACTTTAGCTCTCAGCCCACCAACAAGCCTTTCACAACAGTCAAAAAAAACAACCACCCCCAGCCCTCGGTTCCTTGAAGCACATTTGCCTTCTCAACTCAATTTTAACACGTTCAGCTGGTTATAGCACAAGGCAAAGCAGTATATAAAGGGCTTTGTTATTCTACCGAAGCAAAGCAGAACGCACATGACACAGTAAGAGGGTTTTTCTTATGATATCAAAGAAGTTGCTTCAACATAAACCTCAGCAACAAAGCTCCCGCCCACCTACCACCCTCTCCTCAAACACTTTCTGCTCTTTCACAGGTTAAAGCAATAATGAACACCCAAACCCTCCTTTCCTCCCTCAAGACTTGTGTTTTGACAATTGGGTTGAAACTGTAGTGCACAGTTGGGCTGTGAGAACGTACAGCTTGCTTTGTGTACCCACACTGCTGCTTTCACAGATGCGCATGTGCAATATGGTGGATTACTGGCAGGAAAACGTGCATGTTTTCATTTCTTACATTAGGCTTTTATACAACGCTTCACAGTCAGAGGTATGGTGTGCAAAACCGACTGATTTTCTATGTCTTAACGGAACTGAAAAGCTCCATTTAAAATTATTGCTCTAATTGTAGGAGCCTTTGATCCTCTTAAACATTATTTTAGCAACACGTGGAATGCAAACAGTACAGACTCTTGCATTTTAATCTTAAATACTTCTGAAGATTTTAAGCAACAACTGTTAACTTTGCACCAAAATGCCAATGTTCAACCAAGGTCCTTGCAGCTGCTGTTGTATTTGCCACCTAATCATAACTTCCCCTCAGTCTTACAGTCCAACCTGCACCATATGGTAAATTATCTATGCCAAAACAAAGGGATTTAATTTCAATTTCTTTTCACTGAAATCCAGTTTGCTCACTAAGCACAGCCCTAGTCCTCCAACAAGATTACTCATTCTGCCCAGGAAAAGGGAGGTATTTTTCAGGACATTTAATGTGATCCTGCATAATCATTAGTATTTTAATACTAACACTTGTCAGGGATACTGGATTACAGACCCCTTTGCAAGGTCTGATGTCCATCCTCCATTCACTGGCGCTTTTACACCTTTCCCTTGATGTTGCTGAAAAAAAGCGCAGACTGTCCAAACCTGCTGGCACAGCCCTGTGATGTGGTCAGAGGGGGTCAGTGTTGAGTAGCACAAGGCTCTCCTTTCCTAGTCTGATCCCCGTGGCTCCCTCCATGCCTCCAGGTTTTGACAGCCAAGGGAGTGACACAGTGGACTTGGACATGAGATTTCCACACGGCATGTTGGATCAGGAGCTGCTCCGCAATTTCAGGATGAGGCAAGAAAGCAAAAAGGGTGAATGGTTACTTAAAGGCGGGGGTTTGAAGCACCACATCACATCTCTTCATAAATACAAAAAGTATGTGTCATGTTTCAGGGATGTCCTCTAAGTCTCATTTGATCAATATAGAGAAAAACCTTTTCTGCTCTTACGTATTGCACTTACGGTGGCTTTTTTTTAAGCAGTTATTACATAAAGCCTCAGGTGTTTGCAGGTACTTCAGGGAGAGCAAAATATAGCTCAGGTCATGTGCCAACTTCTCAAATGTACTTTTATCTAGCTGCTTATTCTTCGAGTCAGGTGTTTTGTCATAACAAACCGAAACAAAGGCTTTTTTTATTGCTCAAGATATTCAATGGCTTTTGTGTTCCTAGCGTCATCAGGAACGTCAGAGGATTGTATCCAAGGAGCTAAATGTGCAAGACCTAGGGTCAAAGCAGCTGAATACACCAACCTCAGAAAACACAGACAATGAATTGCAAATGACACTCAAAACAAAACGGGAAAAAAACCTTCACACAGAAAACTACAAAAGAACTCCACAGATACTGAATTGGCTTTCTGTACACACTGATCCTGCTTAACTGTGTGTGGTAACTAACCAAACCTTCTGAGACTAATAGTCATAAAATAGAGACTCGGGGGTGGGGGAAAAGATAATGGGATGGGGGAGAACTGTAAGGAAAAAGATTGCATCGCTCCTTCCCCCCCCCCCCCCCCTTTTTTTTTTTTAATTTAAAGAGAGGCCATGCATCTGTTGCTATTTTCTGCCATTTTGATGTGCTGAACATGACAGTTCAGCACAAGGCAGTTACTTTGCTATTAATTCTGCTGGAGAAGTCTCACAAAAGGTGCAGTGTTTCAGTTTCGAACACAGCACAAAACAAACGGTTTAGTAAACCTAACAGAAGTGGTAGTTTTTTCATGACACAGAGCTGATCTACTATAGCTCTCAACCTGCGAGCAAGCCATCAATATAAGGCACAAAACTGGCATGTACAGCACAAGCCTGAATACAGCTGTCTGAATTGATGTACTACTGGTAAAGTTCTTCTTGGGACTCACTCTGGCTTGATCACAGGCCGTATGACTTGGATGCTTTAATGCTAGTTTAGCTGTATATTAAAGGAAGGATTAGAACTCACCTAGTGTCAACTGCCCACAACAGCAAATTTACCAAACGGTTGGTTTTTAATGACCAGCTATTACACTTGTAAAAAGAATTATTAAGTGATCAGAAATTAATTTTGTTTCAGTTGTTTTGCTGAGAGGCCGTTACTTGCCCCCTTCATCCAAAACAGAAAAAGCCCCAAATCTAAACTACAGCTGCAGGAAGTGTTCAAGTAACTAAACACTCCCACATTTTGATTCCTCTTACTCTCTAATGTCAATGTAACTATTTATTTAGTTATTTTTAGGGCACCTACTCAACTATTCAGGAAAATTCTTCTCTCTCCTTGCTCTGTCTCTCTTTGTAAGAACACTTTTTAACACTTTTTTGGTCTGGAAACCCAGTGCACATCACAGCATAAAGAAGAAAAAAAAAAACCCAACAACACTGCCAATCCTGCAGCTATGCCGAAAACTTGAAAGTCATGACAATTATGCAAAAAAACCCAAACCAAAACCCAAAAAAGCAATAGTGCTCCCATTTCTCCAATTTTTAAGTATTAAGACCTCTAGATAGGGCCTCCATTAAGTAAACCTGACTGGTATTTTTTTCCTTTTAATGTTTCCAACTTTCAGAGGTAAATTTTTTCTTCCTCAGAGCTAAAGAAGTGCTCTTTTCCTCTTCCTAGCAAAGCTTTCACATGAACTTGAAAGAACTTCTCCATTTTGTCACTTTTGCTACATAGCTTCGAAAACTACGTAACACTCCAAAAAGGAATAAATAAAGTCTTACCCATTGCTTGTTTCCCCATGGCACACTGGTAAGTGTTTCTTGGGGACTGGTTGTGGTGAGGATATGGAATCAGCCCAGCACAGACACCAAGCAGCGTGAAAGGCTCAATCTCCAAATGCGTTGTATCTCTTAAAAGAAAGAGTACCGATTATAGCAGCCTTGTGAATGAACATCTTAACTAGAATTTACTTCATTCAGAATACTTCAGTTCAGGAAAACATAAGTCAGTAGGACCTCAAAATACGGATTCACTATGGGATTTTTTTTTTTTGGCTTTAAATGTTTCCACATGAAAAGAAATGAAGGAGAAATAAATGAGGGTTTATGAATTTCCATCATAGAGAAAAAGCCTCCAGATAATGACAACCTGAGGGAGCTCAGTAAGACAGTAAAACACCAGTTGAGACAGTAAAACCCCAAATGCCTTAAGGAATGTCTTCTCATGTAATGAGAGAGTCCTCTGCATGAAATTACCAATCTCAGAGATCTAGAAATCCACTAGGAGATGAAAGAAGGAAGAACAAAAGATTCAGGTATTGAAAAGAAAAAAGTGTACTTTTAGTTTTCCAAGGTTGGTTATATAACACCAGTTAGAGGAAAAAACATCTGTGTCCAAACCAGATCCAGTGCCATGGGTGATTTGGCATAATAAAACACTATTTGAAAAGCTCTGCAAATATTTTGGAAGTGATTATGTTGTTAAAAGGCAGTACTGATGAGAAGTAAAAAGACAGGGACAAAGGAGTAAAGAGACAGAGAGATAACAAAATTTGTTCTACCTGGCATGAGCTTCAGAGGAGAAAGTCCATGCTAAGTAAAGACAATTAAATCATAGCATGCATTGGGATGCAAGTGGAGTGACTAATAACCAAGGATGGAATGTACAATAAAGCTTGGCTGAAGCAGATCTGCTTTTTAAATCAAGATAAGCAACTAGGAAATGTGGAATTTTGAAACAAAGATAATTATAACTAAACCAATCCAAAGCAAATCTTTTATAATGTTCTGGAGTTATTACACTGAGCGTGGCTTTAGGCATACATTGCTTCTCCCATACACCTGAACCCACCACATTCTGCAAATCTGAAAACTGAATGTTTGACTTGCCTTTTAAGTCTTTTGGAAGACTTTTTTTTAATTAGTTGAACAAATTAACTTGATTTCTAAACTTTAAGACCTTGCAAAGGAAATGACTGGAAAATTCTTTATTATGACAACACTCAAAAGACAGCAAAGCATCATAAGCCCAAAAAGGCTGAGGAATTACCCACAAGTATATAGAGACTGAAGACAAGGACCAGCAGGAACTTACATAAACAATATATATACTACTGGAAAAAACAAAATCTGAAAACTGAAAAAAAATCTGGAAACCCTGAGGAACAAGCCTAGTGAAATCATCTATCAGTCCCAGAAATCTATAAATCACAAATATGCCTGAGCAACCTAAAAATCACCTGCTGGCCAGAGGATAGCCACTATTTTTCTTCACTTGATAAAAAGCAGCTATGTTAATTAAACTCTGTCTTAAGAAAATACAAATGGTAGAATCCCAATTGCTGTCAAGTAATTGCAAAATGGTCTCAAGAGCCAGTAGCAAACTTGAAGCACAGACTGCTCCCCCGTTCTGTAGAACTTCACAGAACTGCTGACACTTCTCAAACAATAAGACAAGAGGCTTAAGACTTTGTGAAGTTAGCGAATTTCTTCAGAAGGTACTAATGCATGGAACCACATCTACATTTTCAGATAGGGTATTCAACACAAGGATTTTTCCATTGAGGTCAATCCTATTTCAACCGAAGAAGATGCAACATATGCAGATCCCAGTATCTTATGAAGTATTCCACAGTGTTAGTGAGAGACCTTCGAACTTTACAGAGCAGTTCAATTTCTGCAAGTCAAAATGCCACTGCCAGAAATGGGCCCAAGAAAGGAAGGCAACCTTGTGAGTTTGAAAATTTGAGTTACAAATGGGTAAGGAAGAAACTGAACGCATGAAACAGAGTCAAATCCTCCAAAGAAAAAAAACCCTAATTGGATTGGAAAGGTAAAGAGAGGATACTGTAGCTAAAAGAAGCCTACATTACAAAAGCAGGAATACAATAGTGATTGTATCAGTTGTATTACCAGAACAACTTGTACCAACATGGTCACGCCATTTAAAATGCAAGACGATCAGCTGGGGGAAGGGGGTACACAAATCAGCTATTCAGGATGCAGCAAACGTCATTACTAAATACAAGGAGCAACGTGCTCATACAGTGCAAGCTCAGCTACCTGTGGCACTATTAGCTACAAGCACTGAAGCTAAACTCAAAACAAGTTGATGGACAACGTGAGAATTTCCTAAACTTTTTGGCAGTTCTTGTGGAGTCATTTCCTCACTAGTCCATTGGAAGTGCACTGTCTCCTCCTATTTTTGACTAAACAGTGATTTCATGTGGTATGCTCCCATTAATCTCCTTAGCTGAGTCAGGTGTCCTTAAAACTTTTCAGCTTTCGTCCTTGGTGGAAGTTATTTAATTTTGGCAGAAATGACAGCAATTGTGTATGCTCTCCTTTGCTCATATATATAGAAGCCAGCCAAGAGCATGCAAGAGTAATTTCTTAAAGTGATAAAGTCTTCAAAAGCCTGGGCAGGAGCAATACAATTTAATTAGCAGAGTTAATGTGTTTCATCTGGCAAAGGCTGATGATAACCAAAGGTCTCATCCAGCTACACTGAAATCAATGATGTATTTCTATTGGCTTCCATGAGCACTTGACCAGCACAGAACAGAACATCTAGAAAACGTATTTTCTGCATAAATCTACTGATCAAACATTTCATGGAGATAGCTTCTAACATCTTATATGCAGCCTTCAGTTGACAGAATACTGTCAGAAAAAAGATTAAAAAATAGTAAATAGATAGGAGGACTTAAACATTTAGAAGAATCCTTCCTTTAATGTGGGCTCTTTAATCATAGTCACAAGACAGCAGAGAAAAAAAACAAATCACCAGGCCCTTCATATATGTCAAAAACACAACGAATCTGGAAATCTTTCTAAAAGAAAATCACACACCAGGAATGGGTTCAACATACATGCTAAAGAATACACAGAATGATACAGCCATTTTTATCACGGCCTATTACACATCCAAAAGTCAAAGGGAAGGTCACATTCCAATACTTCAGACATTTAGTGTAAGCTGGCTGTCTAGGGTCCCTCTATAGACATAAGAAAGAGATTTTTCCAAATGACAATCATGACGTGCAAAGATCATCATTTAACATGTGGAATCACTTGCCTTCTGGACTCCTATTGTATAAAATTAATCATGATGAGCAGCGCAACAATTAGGACAAAAAAAAAGCCACATCCAGACAAACAAAGAATATACCTTCAATTATTTAAATTTTTTTGAGAGTTAGAAGCAGGAACAGATCTCCCAAAATCCAAAAGCTAAACCACTTTTTGCAACTATCCCATGGATAACTTAGGGTGCGTGTAAACAGATTTCTTTCTTTAGCTTTCGTCTGGAGTTGTTTCAACCATTAGCAAGGGAGCAGTGTGATGTGTAACATTATTGACATGCTTGCATTTAGGGAGTCACCCTATGAAAGTTTTTCCTGTACCAATATTTAACCTGAATGCATACTTACTTATTAATTGTATGTTCATACAGTGCAATGTTACAGTCATTTTCTTCGTTCACATCCAAATATTCAACAAGGCCTTCGTGCAAAAAGTCTTCAAAGTTCCTACAGTAAAAACAAAAAATTACACTAGAACTACCATCTTTTCATACATTTCTGCAAAAATAAAACTACATAACACATATATCAAAGGAATGTAATGTGTAGAAGTTAAACTGGAGAAATACTTTTACATGAAAAGTTCTATGCATTTTACACCTTTAAAGAAAACTGTATTTTTTTATATTAACCCCCTTGCCCATTCACTGCTTCACACTGTCTGACTGACCGATGTTACTTATTTGAATAATGAAATAAAATCTTCCTGTACGTACTCATCATCATGATAAATGTAGGCAAATATAAGGGTAATCTAGTAAGTTTTTGTGATGGTTTTGCAACACTTAGTTAAAGATAAATTTAAACACTTTTGTGCCTGTTTTCTTAAACACCCAAACTAAGAATTTGCCAGTTCTAAAACTAATTCTGAATGTGCCTAGTTTAGGGCAGTCAAGCTGATATTCCTTTGAAGTGTCTGATTTTTCCATCAGGAGAAAGACAATCCTGCCTCAGGCCTTCCACTTGCAGAA